TGCCATAAGCTAGCATTATGTTGACGCCTTTTGTTTTTCCGTGGACCATAATTAGAGATATACGTGTCTTTCAGAAAAACCGTAAAGCAACAGTTGCCTCAAACTATGAGCAACAGTTTCACTTAGAGCGCTGTAGCTAAAAGTGCAAAGATGTTTCGACCAGAAAAAGTGAACAGAAATTCTGTGTAACCCACGCAGAGTCGTTCCTATCGCTTTCCCAAACACTAACAACGACTCGTGAAGAGAGTTAATCCACAAAGCTGAACAGTAACCCGAAGGAACGTGAGAAAAACCAGCAGTCTATTTGTTGACAAAAAATATTAAATTTACAGCTTTACAGCGACAATAATTTCACCAGCGATACGCATAACTAAAACCTTGACAAAATATGAAGCATCATAATATTGTTATTAGAATTATTTGCGGAGTTCAAATGTAAAAAATATTTGTTAATATTCATGTTGGATATGCAGTAATAATTCTTTGACTTGCCTTGTCGTAAATGACAGTCACCCAGAAGCACATTGCCCCATTACATCCAAGATTCCCAACTTGAGACGGAAATCGTTTTTGTAGAACAACTTTAGAGCAGTGAGGCTTACAGCGGTGAGGCTTACAGCGGTGAGGGTTACAGCGGCGAGAGTGTAAAAACGTATCTTTAACTAGATTCCAGACAACGCTTTCGTCGGTAGAAAGAAAGAGGCTTTTCCCCTGTTTTCCTGGGTGCATGTGCGCGTCTTTGATTTTTTCTTTTACGCTATCGCTTAGAGTGACGCTATTCACCCATTTCCTTGAAGAAACTGACATATCGCTTACACAGTCCCTTCAAGTTTGAGCGTATTTCCTCTCAATTTTTGTAAACTTGTTCGTCTGCCACTTCGAAATAACCGGACGTAATTTTTAACTCTCCGAAAAGCAATCTAGGAGCTGTCATACACGTTGTTCAGGGAAATTGCACATGGGTTTTTAGTGGTCATCATGAAAAATATTGTTTGGAACAATATTGTGAAGGAAACTACAACAGCAGAAACTAGGAGCACAGAAACACGAGCCAATCAGGAAGTGAGGAAAGAGAAAAACGTACATTGTGCATTCTAATTTGCCCCCGCGTGACGTCGTAACAATTTTCAAAACGAGGCGCCGCAGGAGCGAATTTTATATTAAAATGGCGGCTACTAAAACAAAAAATACGCGTTTTTGGCCAGAGAATTCAAGACTGTGCTGTCTCGCTATGCCGATTCGCTGGAAAATCGGACTAAGAAGAGATACATAGAGAAGGTATCTGTGATTGGCATCGATCCTTTGGTCATTCCGCAGCAGAAATATATTTCAGAATGTCTTCCTCCTGTTGAAGCTTGTGATCTCCTATCGTACCTCGTG